TGTATGTAATTTATCATTTTCTTTGGCTGTTTTCAAGATTTTCTTTTTACCTTTGATTTCAGAAGGTTGACTGTGATGTCTTTAAAAAACTTTTTTTAAAACCTGTGTATATATATATATATAGGGTTTTATAGGAGATATATATATCTTGCTTGGGCTTCACTGAGTTTTAAAAAAATATTTTATTTCCTTCACCAAATTTGGGGATATTTTGGCCATTATTTTTCAAAAAACCTTTACTTTTGCTTTATTCTTTCTCTTTTCCTTCTAGAACTAAAATTGTATGTATGTTATGCCTTTTGATACTGTCCTACAGGTGACTAAGACTCTAGTTTTTTAATTTAAGTCCTTTCTTCATCTCTCCAGATGCAATATAAAAAGATTATATTGATTAGTCTTTTTTCAAAATCACAGGTTCTTTCTTCTGTCATCTCCAATATACTGTTAAGCCCATCCAGTGCATTTTTTAATTCAGATGTTGTAATTTTGAGCTTGGTTTTTTAAAATTGTTTTTGTTTCTCTGCAGAGATTTCCTATTTGTTCATTCATTATGAGCTTATTTTCTTCTATACCCTGAACATAGTTTTACTTGCTGCTTTAAAATTTTTCATCAGCTAAATCCAACATGTTGGTTATATTAGGATCAGTCTCCATCAACTGCCTTTTTCTGTTGCCTATAGGGTACCATTTTCTGTTTGTGTGTGTGGTGTGTGCACATACGGACTCATGTGTATGTCCAGTGATTTTTATTATATTATGGACATTGTGGACAATATATTGTATAGCCTATGGCTTCTGTTATGGTTCCTCTAAAGCAGCAGTCCCCAGCCTTTTTGGTACCAGGGACTGGTTTCATGGAAGATAATTTTTTCATGGGTGGGTGGGGGTGGGTATTTGGGGGATGGGAAGCTCATGCAGTGATATGGGTGATAGGAATCGTTGGGAGGGGAATGGCTATAAATACAGATGAAGCTTTGCTCTCTCACCAGCCACTCACCTCCTGCTGTGTGGCCCTTCCCCCCTCCCCCCATCCCTGTTCCTAAATTTCATGGAAGACAAATTTTCCACTGGGCAGGTGGAGGCGGGGTGGGAGGCAGAGCTCTGCTTCCAGGTCCCTCCACAGACCTGACCAGTACCGGTCCACCAGTCCACTGCAGCTCTAAAGAGATGTAAATTTCTGTTTTAGTAGACAATTAACTTGGCTGAATTTCAAATTCCAAAATCTGTCTTAGCTGTGATGAGCAACAGCTGACATTTTGACTAATTCTTTTAGTTTCAGGTAGGCTGTTTGGAGTCTGTCTCATACATGCATAGTTCAGGGGCACTGAGAGATTTACAGAGTTTATATTCTGAATTTGGAGCTCCTCCTCTGTGGCCCTCTCCTTTGAATGCTTTTTCTTCTCACTTTTCAGCTGTGGCAATAGCCCTGAGCTTCATCCTTTGATTGCCTGAGCCAGTAAGACTGCAGGTTTCTATCTGATTTCTCCCTCTCCTGGAAGGTGCCTACAGGGTGCCCTCAGGTAAGAAGCTATGAAAACAGAAAACTCACTAGTGTGGATCACTTCTTTCCAGGGTAGACCTCAGTCCAGTTTCTGCCTGCTCTTGGACCCCTTCCAGTGCCTTTAGATTGTT